CCGCCGGCAACAATAACCTATAAAAATACTAGCTATATTATATATAAAATAATTAAAACATTGTTTTTTATGTTGAATTTCTTTCAGAATGTTTCCCGAAACATTTCAAATTGTATTGGCATCGATTGGACCAGGATTACGTGCTATTAATATTGCTTCTGGTGGCAGAAACTCAATATCGGAAGAGAAACAATTACTTATTGCTATTTGGTTCATGGCTACACCTGATTCTTACAGGTATATGAAATATATACTTCATATAATAAATACTTAGTATCAATTATATTAAATTTTGTTACGTAAATCAATAAGTCATTTTAATTTATATAGTACATTATATATTTTAGATCTATTGCTACGAAATTTGGTGTAGGAAGAGCAACAGCTTTTTGAGCATTACGACGAGTGACATACGCTCTTCATTGTGTCGCACCTCGTTTTATCAAATGGCCTAGAGATCAGGTTGCTCTAAATGTAATGGAGCGATTTCAAAGATCATGTGGCTTTCCCAATATTATTGGCGCTATTGACGGCACTCATATAAAAATCCGAGCTCCTACTGAAGATTCAAACTCTTACGTCAATAGAAAAGGTTTTCACTCCATTAACCTTCAACTTATTTGTGATTCTCGGGATTTATTTACACATTGCTATGCTGGGCAGGCAGGCTCTGTCCACGATGCCAGAGTTTTTCGGAACTCATCTGTAGCTGGATTTCTCGAATCACCCGAGCAATATTTTCCAAATGATTCTCATCTAATTGGAGATGCTGCCTATGCCATTCATCTGCATTTAATGGTACCATTTCGGAATAACGGACATCTAACACCTCGGCAAACAAATTATAATTATTGTTTGTCATCAACAAGGATGGCTCGAGAAGGGAATAGGGCAACTGAAAATTCGTTTCAGAGTATTATTAGATTGCTTGCAGTTAACAGATATTTAAAAAATCCCTAAATTTCTAATTGCATGTTGTGTATTACATAACATTTGCTTACTCCAAAATGACGAATTGCTTATGGGCTTATATATTCTATTCTTCTATTCTTCGTATTTGTGTGGCCCTCGCCACTGAAGATGGCGGCGACTCCGGCCAGAAACGAAACTGGAGTAGATGTCTGGAACAAATCAGGCGGAGCGCCACCTGGTGAGAGAAGAAGGGGATTACTCTCCCCCTCACCCCTCTAAGAGCGGAGCACACGTACATGAAAATCACACCCTTAGGTTGAGAGACTTTAAATAGGCAATGATTAAGCGACAAAGAGTGGGAGGAGGGTTCTTGAGTATATGATGAATATCGATAGGAGATAGTGGAAAGTATTTCTTAATATAAGAACGCAATTTAACTGATTTACCAATACATAATCTGCAATAAAAAATTATATGGTTAATATCCTGTCTAGGGTCTCCACAAAAGCAAGACGGAGAGTCAACAATGCCTTTACGATGGAGACTGTGGGCAAGGTTATAATGATTAGAGCGTATTCTGGAAACAGTAACAATTTCCTCCCTATCAAGAGATTTATCATAAAACCAAGGCTTAGATGAGTTATTTCTGTAGTAATCATCGTATAGTTGCCCTTTATAAGAGGCGGAGTTATCGAGATAGGCTTGAAATTTTCTCTTATGCGAGTCACGGGATAAGGCTAACAGGTCGTGATAGGGAATTTTGAATTTAGGGCGTCGGCCATGGAGGGCAGCCTCCTTGGCAAGTTCATCAGCTCTCTCGTTCCCAAAGAATGCCCTTGTGTCCTGGTACCCATACCAGGTTGATGGTAAATCCATTGTTGACCATCTTGCAGAGCAGGTCCCTTATTTCGTAGACGAGGTAATTGACATCTTTGCGTTGATGTGAGGAGATGGCGCGTAATACGCTGAGTGAGTCGGAGAAAATGGTAGAGGTATCACAGCATCGATCTTCCACCAAAAGAATGGCGCGAATAATGGCCCAAGCCTCAGCTGAGAAAACGAAGGCCTCCGGAGGGAGCTTGTCCTTAATGAACCAATTAAGGTCTTTGGAATATACGCCTGCGCCCACCGAGCATCCATCCCCAGATCTGGAGCCATCCGTAAATACTAGAGGTCCTTTAGCAGAGTATGATGAAGAGAGTTCCTGGAAGCGAGTTCTGAAGATAAGGTCGTTGGAATCTTTAGGCACCGACGTCATAGATTTATCAATGGGGTGGACATAGGTGTAAGAGGTCCAAGCAAAAATTATAAGCTAAAGGTTTATAGGATCTTCTTATAATATTCATCGCGTATTTCTGAGTAACATATCTTTTTAATATGTGATATTACTGCGGTAGTTTAGTAGAGTTAGCGTTTCAAGACCGGAAAAATTTTTCGGCGCGCGTTTCTGTGGGACTACATACGTAGTATATAAATTCACATAAGAATCATACAAGCATTAAGATCCAGCTAGACCGTGTAAGGCTTCGATTCTATAGTTTGTGTTATCACATGTACGGTCCTATAATATATTATATTATTTATTTACGTTGCCTAAAGAGACGTTGTTCCTTCATATGCCAATTATTGCGAAGAATATTACTAAGGCCTCGGTAGTCTAAAGGCTCAGGACGCTCGCACGGATTGCAAGAGATCCGGGTTCGACTCCCGGCCGAGGTAATATTTTTTCGCAATAAGAATTAATTATTTACAGATTTTAATATATTATTCATCATTATTAAGATCGTTTCGAAGATGCGAATAAGTATCAAAAATTTGTTAAATTGCTAGTCAATTTAACTCGTGATATTACTGCGGTGGTTTAGTAGAGTTAGCGTTTCAAGACCGGAAAAATTTTTCGGCGCGCGTTTCTGTGGGACTACATACGTAGTATATAAATTTATATAAGAATCATACAAGCATTAAGATCCAGCTAGACCGTGTAAGGCTTCGATTCTATAGTTCGTGTTATCACATGTACGATCCTATAATATATTATATCATATCTTTTTAAAATGGGGATAGAATTAAGCGCTTGCGATCTTCTAGTCGGCGAGTGTAAGACCTTTTCAACATATTTGAAGCTTTGTAGAGTAATAGAATTCATCTTGCTCATAGCTCGAAAGACAAATCTGGAGGACATGAGATCAAATCTCAGATTTAGAGGAGTTTCCTTAGCTTCCGCCATTAAGACGTTGATGGGGGTGGATTTCCTATAGCCAAGAGCTATTCGTATGTTCCGGTTAACCAGACGTTCCAACTGCTGGAATTCACTTTGATTGCCTTTAAGCTTGAAGATTTGGCAACCATATTCGATAGCGGATCTAAAAATAGCTCTGTAGAGGCATAACATCAGTCTGGGATGAGACCTCCATCTAGTGCCCGCAAGAACCGAAAGTATGTTGGTAAGATTGCGGCCTTTTTTGATAAGATACTTGAGATGTTCCTTACCCTTGAGCTTCGAGTCCAGAATGATTCCCAGAAAAGTAAATGAAGTAACGCGAGGTATATCTTGACTCCCAATACTTAGCGCCAGGTCAGGGCAAGTATTACGTCTTCTCGAAAATAAAAGCCATTTGGATTTAGTGAGAGACAAATCCAGTCCTCTAGAGCGTAAATACGCAAATATGTTGTTCAGAGAGATTTGAATTGAATGACGTGCCTCCTCTTCATTACGGTTAATACTAAAAATGACAATGTCATCAGCATACTGTAGTAGGTTAGAATCTTCGTGTAAACAACTGTTGATATCAGCGCAGTACAGGTTGAAAAGTAGAGGACTAAGAGCAGATCCTTGAGGAGTACCCTTCAGAGAAGTGAAGGGGCCCCGTAGTTCGCCTTCACAAACAAAATAAATGCTTCTTTCAAAAGTAAGATTTGAAATGAATTTTCTTCTTCTTGCGGGGATGCCCAGTTTTTGCAATCCTTCAACTAAGATTGAGGGGATGACATTGTCAAAGGCCCCCTCAATGTCCAGAAAGGCACAAAGAGTGACTGCCTTGTTTAAAAATCCACCCTGTATGTAATTGGTAAGTGAGACCAAACTGTCTATGCAGGAGCTCATGGGGCGAAACCCAAGTTGGTTGGTGGGGAGAAAGGCTCTGGATTCCACTAACCATTTCATTCTCTGATAAATAATCTTTTCCAAAATCTTGTATAGGCAAGAGAGAAGTGAAATCGGTCTGACTCCCTTGCCTCCCGGCTTGGGGATGAGGACGACCAGGGCACGAGCCCAGTCTCCGGAAAAATTCCAGATTCAAAAAGACCATTATAAATAGCAAGGAGTTCTTTCAAGTACGCTTGAGGAAGATTTTGAATGACCACATAGTCAATCTGGTCTAGGCCAGGAGCCGAAGTACGCTTCATAGATTGGATGGCGTGTTGAAGTTCTTTCATTGTGATAGGCCTATCCAGTTCAGAAGCCACACCCTGATGATGTCTTAAATCCTCTGCATGCATTTCATCGATTGAGGGAGTGCTCAATGTGCTGCAGATAGGAGGGCATAATTTGTTGATTGCCAGCGATTGAGCCTTCCGTAATTTCTCAGTGGATTGTGTGGGAGGAGCGAGGCGTCTGTTCTTGAAGGCTTTGACCAGCTTCCAAAGGTGAGCAGAAGGCGTGTTACCAGTGAAGCTCTTACAGAAGTCCCTCCATTAAATGCTTTTTGGTTTTCCTCAAGATTCTTCTGCATTCTGTTACCTCTTTTTTATAAGCTGTCCAGTTCTCTGAGCTGGAGGTTTTAAAATATTTTATGTTAGCTGCTCTGCGTTTTTCAACAGCGTCATGGCATTCCTGCGTCCACCAGGGAGGAGAGACCAGATTCCTCTCTTTGGCCAGTTTGGATGCAGGGATTCTTGAGCCTGGTGAGAATAAAGAGTAGAGTGTCTCAGTAATGATGGTAACCAAGTTTTTATATCTATCGAGTGTGTCTAAAAAGGTTTGTGAGTTGTTCGGCGGCGATTTGGTATATAATGAGTGGTGAAAGTCTTTTGCTTGTTGTGCGTCGAGTTTGATTTTGTATTTAAATATCTTTTTAGGATTAATTTTGGACATAAATTGGATCAGTATAGGAAAGTGATCACTAGTGAGGATGTTCTTACCAGTAGAGCATTCAAAGAGAGTACTTACAGAAGGCGTGGCAATAACCAGATCTATAATAGATAAATGTTCGCTATTGAACATTTGAAGAGTGGGTTGATAATCATTACAAATGATAAGATTGTATTGATCCAGAGCTTGTGATAGCAGTCTGCCAGATCTATCCGTGGAGGTGCAACCCCAATCAACGTTGTGAGCATTGAAATCGCCCATGATTATAATGTTGTTACAGATCATTGCAAAGTTGAAAAGTTGTTGGAAAAAAGATAAAGGGGTATTTGTGCCCGGATGTCTGTAGATGTTGATGATAGTAAGAGTAGAATCCAATATTTGTATGTTAATACCCATTAATTCCACCGAAGGGTGATATAGGGGAGAAAGATCTAAAGTTTCATAGAGTATAGATTTCTTGATAGCAATGGCTATACCGCGCTTTGTCCCGGCGTGTCGATATCCTTTCTAATGAAGTTATGTGTGTTAGAAAATAAGTAGGCACCTTTGAATTTAGTTTCTTGAAGACACCAGATTTCAAAATTATTATCTGGAGAATGAAACTCAGGAAGTTTGTTCTTTATACCTTTGCAGTTCCAAAATGTTATAACAGAGTTGGTGTTATTATGTTGAGAGTTTCTTATAGAATTCATATTGAGTACAAGATGATGTTTTAATGATAGTAAGGATTGAACCCTGGAGGTGTATTATGTAAACGGTCAAGAGGGAGATTAGAAGGTTCTGCGTAAGCCAGCTGTGAAAATTCTTGAGCAGGTGAAGGGAGTTCCGGGAAGGGCCTAATGAAATCTTGCAAATAGTTAAACGTAATTTTAGCGAAATTGAGGAATTGTCTGTAATTCAGAGGAAACGGCTCATTCATGTTTCCTTTAAGGAACGGCTCGGTATTGCCATTGACTCG